ATTTTTAATAAACTTATAGATAACTCAACCAATCCTTTTTTTACATAAATAAAAATTAATCCATCGAGATATCAGACAAGAAAATTATATAAAAGTAGGAGATATTTTTAAATTAATTGACTTTGGCTTGGTTAGTGGAAATGCCCCTTTCGACTTAAAAACATTATCAGTTGGAGTTATAATATTTTAAGCACCAGAACTTATAGAATCATAGAATAATTATACAGAAAAAGTTGATATCTGGGCATTAGCATGTGTGTTTTATGAAATATTATCATATAAATCATTATTTAATGGTATACTAAATTTATATTTTTAGGATCAAGTTTAAGTGAAATAATAAATTAAATAAAAAGTCACAAAACTAATCCAACTTTTGTTAATACAAAAATAAATAATTTATAAACTCCAGAAGAGATTAAAAAATTGATAATATCGATGTTGAATTAAAATGCCGTTAACAGGCCTTCAATAGAAAATGTTTATAATGAGTTTTAAAAATACTTAAATAAAGGTGGTGTTGCTTAATAAGTTGTAAATAATCCATCAATTGTTATAAATATAAGAAATTCGGGCAATATATAATCATAGTAAAGTATACAATAAGCAAGTGAATAATGGAATTTATAAAATTCTCTATGTGACAATAGAAGTACAGGTAGTTCATTAATAAATTAAAATCAATAGCTTTCAGAAAAACAAAAATCTATAAATACATAATTATAAAATTTTTATTAAAATGAAAAACCTGATATTAATTTAAATAAATTAAGTGAATCACAAATAACATAAATAACAAAACTTATTGAAGATAAGTGCTAATCAATAATTTTAAAATTATTAGAAGTTTAAAAAGAAATTCATGAAAAATAAATTGAGTCTTAATAAAATGAAATAAACCAACTTAAATTGTAGTCAAAAGATTAAGACAACAAGATAGAATAATTATAATAATAGATCTAATAATAATAATAATAAATCTAAGATAACAAATTTAACAATAATATTCTAATTGATGCGCCTAATTTAAAATTTTTAAATAGAAAATTCCAATTAATAAATTAAGTTGGAGGAGGAGCACAAGGATCTGTATATTTAGCCAAATCAATAAATTGGGGATTTTTTGATTAAAAATAATATACATTAAAATAGTAAGAAAATACTAAAGATAATGAAATTCAATTTATTGATGAACTTATATAATATCAGAATCAATATGAAAATCAATTTAATATAGATTAATAAAATAATTAACCATCTGGGTTAATTAGAATTTATGAAAGATTTAAATGGTAAGACTATGATGTTCTGATAATGGAAAAAGGAGAAATAGATTTATTGGCATTTATAAATGAATAATAATAATTAACATTTCAATAGAAAGTTTAGATTTTAATTTAGGTATTATTAAATTATAAATATATATTAGATATCTTAATCTATATAATTTTTACATTAATAATAATTAATACATAGAGATATTAAACCTGAAAATTATATTAAAATAGGTAATTAATTTAAACTAATTGATTTTGGATTAGTAAAATCAAATGGAGGAACAAATTTAACAATTAGACCTGAAACAACTTAATATTAAGCGCCTGAGATTATAGAAAATAAACAAAACTATACTTTGGCTGTAGATATTTGGTCTCTTGGATGTGTATTTTATGAAATTCTATAAAATTAATAATTATTTACAGGTTAGTATACTTATATTAAAATTTAGGGAAAAATTTGAAAGAAGTATCTTAGTAAATATTAAATTGTAAATTAAACTTAGATTATTTGAGTAATAAAATCAACTAATTAAATGTAAATGATTAGATGAAAAGCTTAATGAAAAAAATGCTCAATCCAAATGATCAATAAAGAATCTAAATTAATGAAGTGATATAGAATTTGAATAAGATAGAAAATTATTTATAAAATACGGTGTAATCAACTTTACCTGGTCACCATGAAAATTTCAGCCAATCATAATTTAACTAAATTGAGAACATGATTGGAGAAAAACTTAAACCAACTATTGAATATTTAAATGATTTTGAAAACAAATTAATAAACGAAGAATAAATTTTATAAATTATTTAATAGTATATAAGTGAAGAGGATAGAATAAAAATTAAAAAAGAAAAAGGTTAATAAACTTTTTAAAAAGATATAAAAGAATAAAATGATTAATTCAATTAAGATTCTCAAAAATAATAGTAGTTGAATTAAAATTTATAGATTATGATTGATAATTAAACTAAGGAGATTTAAAGTTTATAAAAAGAGAATTAAGATTAAACTAACAAGAGCAAGAAATAGATTGATACATTAACGAAGTTGATCGAAGATTTAAAAATATAGAATTTATATTTAATTAATTAGAATAATAATTAGATTGATATTTTAAAAAATGAGATTTAAAATTTAAATTAAGAAAAATAATAATAAATTCTTGAAAATTTTAAACAAAATTAAATAATTCAAGAATTAATTCAGGAAGATCAAAAAAATTAATAATATATAGTGGAACTAAAATTTTAAATTAAAGATATAAAAGTGAAACTTAAGGAGGCATTTTGAATTATATAAATCTAAAAGTTATTATAAATAAATTTATAAATTATTCTTTTTCTGTGTTTATATTAATTTAACATTTCTAATAATTTCATCAGAAAAAAGATAGGCTGAGCGATCACCTTTCTAATACGATAAATATAATCAACAAGATCTTTTTAAAAATTTATTAATTTTAGGTAGGTTATCTTGAAAATTGAGTTGATTTTCAATTTTAGACTATATTATAATTATAACAACAAGATAATTTTTATAAAAAAAATATTAATTTAAATATTATCACTAAACAGAATTTATTATTA